TTGGAAGCCCACGGGAACAACAAAAAGTGTTGGCCCCACGTGAGTTTTGCAACAAGCTGGCCATTTGATTGAATCCCAACCGCTACTTTTTCAAAATTATGCGGTGCTTTCTTTTTTTTATTTAATTATTTTAATTTTTTTAATATTCCAACAGCTATAATTTGTGTCAACCAAAAATCTTTTTTTTTTCTCCCTTTGTTTTCCTTTCTCTCTTTGTTATATTTTTTCATTCTACTTTCATTCTTATATTTTTTTCATTATATTTTATACTTTACTCATTCTTAGCACATTAATTTGTGTCAATTAACAATAGAGCAACAACCACTTTTATACAAATTTTCATAATTTAAACACACAACATAATTTAAACACATATGGTGTTGTACTTATTTTTATTTTCAAGTGAAAATCTATTATGTTTTGGAATTTTAATTTTTTTAGGTTAAAATGTTTAGAAAATTAAATCACGAACGTTGAAACAAAAATAATGTCAAGAAAAATTAATGAGAAAAAAAATTTAGGAGTTAATCATTTTTAAACAATTTAATAAAGTTGCGGACTTAAATTATGAGTTTGCAAGGTTGGAGGAAAAAAAAAATTTGAGTCATGAAAATACATGAATAGTTGTATTTTGAAGGGTGGAAATTTGAGTTTAGCCCCAACATGGTTGGAGATGGCCTTATCTTGTTGTGTTCCATTTGTGAGAAAATGGCTTGCTAGCATGTGTTTAGGGAAGGCTAATTTTACGATTAATGCTCTTGCCAACTTGGGGCACGGGCTTACTCTGTTTAAGTTGTGGGAGAATGGAACGTCTTTGAAATGTTCCCTTTCGTTTTATTTTAATTTTTTTGGCCCCGTAGTGCCTATCAAAGTAAAGGACTCTTTTTTGTTTTTTGACTGGGTCATGGGAGAAGGGAAGGAACTCAACCACTGAGGTAAACCCAAGCAAGGACACATGCCATTATTGCTTTTAAGATTAATACAGCAATGAATCGGTCAAGTGTTCTTGTACTTATATCAGTTGTAATTTAGTCAACTAACTCTAACTTTAGTCTCAGACCAGTAGTTTGAAGTTTCAAACCTTAGACACTTACAAAAGGTGCAATCTCTCTCTCTCTCTCTCTCTCTCTCTCTCTCTCTCTCACACACACACACACACACACACACAAACACAAAGGCACAGCTGCAGATGGGGCCCATATATATAATGATACATCCATGCATGTATAAGAATGTATTGCTTCTGGTGTGCAGAGATGGACTTCTTGCGGATTTGGTGGAATTTATTTGAATGGAATTTATGATATTCCTGAGTGGTTCAAAATCCCCAATGATGTGGGCTATATCGTCTTCATTGAAGTTCCTCAAAGAAACATGGGTCGTGATTTAAAAGGGTTGACTATATGCTTCGTTTACTCTTCATACAGGTCAAAACTCGTAGATTCTGAAGTTCCTATTTGCATTATTGTTAGAAATCTTACCAAACGAACTGCTTTGCACACCAAGATAGCATTTGCCTCCTCAACAACTTACAAAAGACCAGAAGACCATTTGTTTTGGTGGACACTCGGACAAAGTACTGCTTTGCACTCCCGGATAGCATTTCCCTTGGTAGAAACTTGCAGTAAACCTGAAGACCATTATCTTTGGCAGGGACAATTGTCAAACGATGTGCTCCGTTTGGAAGGCGGTGACCGTGTATCGATTTTTGTAATGCCTGATGTTGATTTTGTGAGAATGAAGATAGGGGTTCATCTAGAATGGGACAAAGTCATGAAGGAAAATATGGATAATCCGGATCGTCATTTGTATGATTGGGAAACAAGTGGGGATTTTTGAGGGGAGTTGATGAGTCCATTAAAAGAAATTGTTGTCACTGAGACAAATGGTAACCATACTGAGCAAGCCATCAATCTTGATGGAGGAAGAAGAAGCCATGATGAAGCAGAGACTGTATTTCTTAATCTTTTAAGCTACAGCACTATTACACTCTGTACAGTTGTCTAACTAATTTACATACCCTACTAACAACTCACGTGCCTTGCACACCTAACTCACTAACTGTTTACAATCATATCAATAGTTAACAGTTAGTGCGCTTTAAGTAGATCAACACCCCAATGCCGGTTAAAACAACATCACACTTGCCAAAACTCCATCTCGTTTTCTGGGTTGTGGTTGTAACCGACTGGGTTTTGGTTCTGTGCCCAGAATCAAAGTAGTCCAGATGCAACCTTGAAACCTGAGGAAGAGATGGAGATGGAGATCGAGGCAGAGGCACAAGGAAATAAATCATACAACATAAAATAATTACACATAAAAAATAATTTAAAAAACTTTCCATTAACTTATTGGGTAATCTGATCCTGTCAATTACAAAGTTAAAATTTTCAATAAGAAAACAATCACAAATTTCAATAGGAAATCTCCTTCAATGATTTGGTGATGAGATGACTCAAATGAGAGAGCCGCGCAGAGACCACCACTTGTCCCAAAGCCCCACATGTCACATTCTGGTGCATTCTTCACTTCTGTAGGTAGCAGACACGTGTCAGCATAAGCAGCAACATACGCTTCACATCTCCTTCGCACAAGTAACATTTTTACATTTAAGACCGAAATAGTACATGGAGCTTCACATTTAAGACCAAACATAAATCCCAAAATATAGGAAAACCCTATGCAATCCAAATTCCATAAAACAGTCTAGTTCGACTATTCAATGGACCTACCAATACAAACAACACGTGAAAATTATACAATTTATAAAACTTGTGTGCCTCAATTTCAATAAGAAAGTTAGGAAGATACATGACATATTTGGAAGTGCTTATGTGTCACGTCCCAATTTGAAAATAAGGAATATTCCCGAATCAAGGTGTGAGTCATACCATAGTCATAAGAATAAAATTCTACAACCATGATATGATGAGAAAAAGAGCCACAAATAAATACAAATTTACTTAACAACACAGAATCAGAGTCACAATAACTCGTAGTTATTTACACACTAAGATCTTTGTTAACCCGTTGACTACTTACAAAAGTTAATTACACAAATCGACAACAAAAACCTAGTAGCTTGGTTGAAACCCGCTTCCTCAAATTTCGCCTTGAATCCTGCACAATCTATTAGGGTATGAGCATTCTAATGTTCAGTAGAGTACCATCAAACCCCTCAATGTCAACTATCACAGTTAATCAAAGTGTCATGCATCAAACAATACAAGATATATAAGTTATGAAATCCGACCAAATAAATAAATTTTCATATGCAGTGATGCCATGAACTCACTCCCTTCTAATCCCACTAATTCATACCTTAGGGCAACAAGCCTGCATGTCTCAGACCATGTGTTTTACCACTGTGGCTTCGAATACCCTAAAATATGAACTAGCACCCGTCCATCCCTTAACCCAGTTTTCTTTTGTTTACGAATTTCTCAACTTTCACTTTTCATTAGAGGCCCTGCTCCCATTACCTCATTATATTCAAGCCCTGCTCTCGTCACTTGAATATATTTTACTTTTTTTTCTTACTCGGATATATCTAAGGCATTCTCCCACCCCTTAGATATATACGTCAAACTACACACACACCCCAAACACCACTGTCTTTATGATGCATATGTAATGCAGTTTATTTACCTCTACAGAATAATAATACAAATAATAACAATAATATATATCAGACTTAATCACATGAATATTCACCAAACATCAAATAATATCTACGGAGAAAGAACAATAATAATATTCACATAACATCAAATAATATCCACCGAGCAGAGCAACAATAATATTTATATTAATAGTACTATATATAAGCACCAAGATTAAAAGTGATATAGTATAATAATCGGGAATCAGGAAACCCTACCTCATGTCCAGCTAGCTTAACCTTGTGCAGGTTCGTCCTTGAAAGTACGTAGACCTAAAGCCCCCAAAAAACACTTGACATGTTGTTCGACCTGATCATTACTCCCTTAACCTCATGTTCAAACAAGTATTAGAACCAAGCGTCAAGGAAAACCAATCTATTCCCCTGCTATAATTGTTCCACTCTTTGGGATGTTTAAAATCAGGGGGTTCGGCTCTAGACTCATAAAGAAAATTAAAAACATCAATTTAAAACAAAACTTTAGTTTTGCTAAACATTTAGGTTGGAACACGTTAACTTTGAAAATTCACTAAATATTATGTTTAAATCAAAATAATGTAAAAAATTTCAAATCAGAACTAGACATAGAAAAATTTTAAAATGTCAAATTTGATGGAAATTAGGGTTAAGGAAGCATGTCAAAGTAGAACCAAAACAAACTAGGCTGCAAAATGTTCTTTTTTTCAGGTTTGTACACTTTATTTTGAAAACTCACCAAAATTTTAATTTACAACCAAAATGGATAAAACTTTCTAGATTTGAAGAAAATACATGAAAGTAAAATATATTAAAATTTCATGAAAATTAAACTTCAGGAAGTTTTCAAACACGTATACAAAACATGACATGCGGTAGAATCAGAACAATTCCAACAACATAGTCTCTACTTTGAAATTTCACAAAAAACTCAATTTAAATTCAAATGGCACAAAACCAACTTTGAAATAACCCTTGAGATATCAATTTTGATATAACAAAATTCCAGAATAAAATTGGTACAAAATCACATCGACATAATCTAGAACTTCACAGAAACGCACTTTGAAAGAAATATATGGCATTGAGGCAATCTAACCAATACTTGATTTACAACTAGTACTCAAAGAGACAATAAGAAGATGAGCTTTCAAACCTTCAAAGAATCATTTACTTGAGATGATAGTGGCCAATTTTATCAATTGAATGACAAGTAACAAACCATTTGAGAGAAAGTACACATCTATAACAAGAAATTCAATATAATCAAAGAACAAGTTCCACTCTAAACTTTCCCAAGGTGGCTATAGAAGTCAGATCAACCTAAATTTTTGATATGTTATATTAGACAGAATTTTGAACAACTTTTATGAAGGAACCAAAGTCATTTGAGTACAAGAAATCATATAAATATTCTGAAAACGAGCATACTACTGTGAAATCCGAAAATGGAAAACATACTATGATCATACCAAGTTTTCGGAGTCAATACTAATCGGATTGAGGTGAAAATGGAGTATGTTATAGGAATCACTTAAATGAACAACTTTTATGAAGGAAGTTTGCTCATTTGAGCTCTCTAAATTTGATTTCTCAGCTGCTCCAAGGAAGTGACGAATTTTTGAATTTTTGAAGAAGAACAAAAGAAGAATGAGGATGAAAATATGTGAATGAGGAAGAAAGGGATGATACAATGAATGATGAAGATAGGAATAATTTCATTATTGAAGATTCTTAGAGGTGAGTCATCAATTTAGAGTGATAATACAATGAATGGGGAGGAAGAGAATACATTCATGATTAATTTAAGGAATCTTAGGCTAGCTGAGTCATCAATTTAGAATAGGTGACTCACCACTTTCATAATTGCAAATTTGGAAGCTTGAGGTAAGAGGGGAAGAATGGGAAGAGGGTGGTTTGATGCCCTCCACGTTTTTTTTTTGTTGCCTACAAGGGTATTTTGGTAATCTTTCACACAAAGGGGTATTTTAGTCATGTTTGTCTAACTTTAAATTAAACACACTTAATTTAATAATCTCAATCCAAAATCACTTGATAAAATACCCAGAATCATTCTCCACAAAATATTATTTTTCACTAAAATATGAAAATCTACCTTGAATTTTTTCGGGGTGTTACATTATGGTGACATCCTACATTTCTTAAGGAAGGGAATTTTCAAATATTAAGAAGACTTACCATGTTCTCATCATCAAATGCAGCGTCTATGAAGCGATTTGAAAAACCTAAAGTACAATACTCACTCAGTAACCCCTATGTACCACTTGTGGGAAACTTAAAGTACAATACTCACATGATATACATGCTAAGTCTAAATATTATATTAGCCACTATATGTCAACTCATCGTTTATCTAAGTTATATGCATCATAGTTGTGCCAATTATCTAGTGTATGTGTAACAACTAAGCTGCATGATGCTATTTCTGACCTCAAATGTGTGGATGCCATGAATGTTGAAGTGGAAGCTTTGAACAAGAATGAAACTTGAGATTTAGTCCCTTTACCAAGAGGGAAGAAAGTTGATGGGTGCATATGGGTGTTTACTTTGAAGCATAAGGCTGACGGTTCTATTGACTGATACAAGGCTAGATTAGCAGATGAGTGTATAACAAGAGATCTCTACCCTTAGTAATAAGGGAGAATGTTATGATGATATGATTCAGGAGTCTTCAGCTGAAGCACTAGTTATGAATGAGAATGGTAATTCCAATCATACTTGTATGAGTCATATAAGATTGGAGTTCACATTAGGGGCTTGACATGTTTTCTGTGCGCTAATTATGTAACCACAAACATTGAGTCAGAGAATGACTGTATTACATTGTAATTGCAACTAAATAGGTTCTCCACCACATTCTACATTGGTTTGGATAACCGTAACATCTTACAAGATGTCACTCACGTTTGTGGAAGCCTTGAGGATATACTATAACTATGTCCTCATAATAGGGAGAATTAAAAGGGTTTTAATTCACAATCGATTAAGGAAGAGTTCATATCGCCCATTGCCTCATTGATTAGAATCTA